ACTTTTTAACGGTAACTACCTTTAAAAAACCCCGGTAAACCCCCGTTAAAAACAACCCCTTTACCCGAAACGTACGTAATACCTTGGAAAACCGTTTTTACGCAACTCGCAACTATTCCCCAAAAAATCCTACCCAAACCGGGTAGCCTAACCTTGCCAAACTACTCCGGAATTTACCCACTTTCGACCCCTCGGACNNCTTACACCTACCATCCCGGAATTACGCCAAAATCCAACCTTAGCCAATCAAGCCTAATTCTACACCGGACCTCCAAATTCAATTCCGATTGCGCTCCTAAGTCACAAATCATCTCCCGAAACTGGTCGAATCATCGGAAATCCATTCCGAGCCTTCTAACTCATAAGTCAATATTCGGTTGACTTTTCCAAATAATCCTTCTCATAAAGAGACTTATTGTCTCATTTCTAACCGAACTCTATCCGAATTACTTCAAATCCTCCAAACACATATAATGAAACATGTAGAAGCATAAAACGGGAAAATCGGGACGGTAACTCCCGTGACGACGGGTCGGGTCGTCACAAAGGCGCTTTGGGCGTGCTATCTCCAATAGCTACAGGATCATTTCCAACGTGCCCCCTTTCAAGCTGGTCATAATCATTATGCATCTCACGAAAGTCAGGATCATTATCCTGTTGCTTATGCTGAAAATGAGAAACGAACAATTTTATTATTATACATATTACAAGAATACTACGTGTACTGAAAGTAAAGAATGGAATAGTATCCTATAAGCATATATTGCATCTTTGAACAATATACTATAGCATTATATTATATAAAAGACCAATACCGCTGAATTTCCCTCTGGTTTCATTGATTGCCTACCAATAGCTGCAAGCACCTCCTCAAACTTGGTCTCTACAAAAAGCTTCAAACCTTGTAGCTCCTTCATTACCTCAGCATTGGTGGGTTGGGAATCACCTCCAGTACTTTCATGCATACTTTGTGTCTTTGATAATTGAGTGCCGAAAACCTGAAAGCTATCGGGCTGACTGTCAGTGCACTCAACTTCAATTTCAAAGTTTAGACCAGGCACATCAAATAGTTGCTTCTCATCATCAGTTGGAGTGATGTTCTTTAGCTGCAATTATTAAGCACACTAGTTAGAAATAGAAATGATAATAAAGTATGGAAAGATAAAAGATCCCTATTACCATATGATACCAATATAGTATACATGTATACCAACAGAGTATATCACTAAACTGGGATATTGCTACAACTCTGACTAAACTACTGTACCAAAAAATTAAGAGAGGCACGGCAATAAAACTATGAGAAAATTACCTGCTCGCGTTGCAAGCTAGACATTCGCAAAGCAACTCCCTCATTCGGTATTTGACCCATGACTACCCAATTCAAAATTCGTGGAAGTTCGTTTCCAATATGATCAACAAAGTGACCATCCAAACTTGGGCAGTATTCATACAACCAAATCTGTAAAGCCAACGGGAAGCCACCGAGTCTATAAAAAGAAGGCTTATCTTGTAACTTGTTGGAACACGAGTCAATTGTAGCATTATAAACATCTATACCCCAGGGATAATTATTAAAATCACCGCACTCAACCAAGTCAATGTAAGACCGTGAAATAACCTTTGTTTTGAGTTGAGAAAGTAAGAAGCTGTTCACAAAATAAAGAACTGCTATCTTCAATGCATCATCATTTGTTTCCCATTTCTTCTTCTTAAAACAGTCTGCTAGATGGGCCAATATCACGGATGCAGTCCCAAAATATTTTGAAATCAACCTATTCTCTGCTATGCTCTCTATACTTATATTACCCTTATATTTCAACCCAGTAACAAGTGCAAATTCACCCAAACCAAAGCGCAACCTAGAATCATTCACTACAAACCGCATCTCATTTTTCACCTCATGATGTACTTCTCTAATAAGCAAATTGTGCATAACCCGAATCTGCACAATAACTGGTGGTAGATTCAAAAAATAGCCAAAGCATGTTTTCTTAAACAGTCGAATTTGCTTCTGTGATAAATTTGCTTTCAATTGATGAATAACATGGCAGTTGGTATCCCAATCAACCTTTGGTTTATAATCTAAGTCGATAGGCACAAGAAAATCCCAACACTGCAAAACATGTTCGTATAAAATAATTTCAGAAATAGAATTCACTTAAAAATGCAACTAAACCAACTAAAAATTTTACAACTACCATACGATACCAACACGACATATAACTATACCAGCAGGGTATACAATTCTACTAGCTAATTTCCGGCAACTGTAAATGACTATTACATAACAGATAGGAATAAAGAGAAAAAGTAAAAAAGTATGCAGCTATAAAGTATTTTTAAGGTACTGTACGATACTACTTTATTAAAGGAAAAACAAATAGCGAAGACAGCCAAAAAAGGATCCAGAAGCATATAATAGTATATAGCTATACTAACAGGGTAAATAGTTGTACGGTGTTGTTCCAACAACTGTATATAAGTATAAAAACTATCATATAACACAAATACACTATGTCTATAGGAACAAGGGAATCTCAACAATGCAAAACATGATTATATAAATTATTTAAGAAATAGAATTGACTTAAAATTAACACAACTGACTATAACTATAATATAATACAAAAGCATAACAGGAAATCAAAAAATAACAATGTATTATACATTCAAAATCTCACATATCATAATTGTAAGAAAATTACCTTCTTGGGTGCGACACCAATCTTTTTCTTATTTAACTGAGAATCATCGCTACAATCAACATCTACTGGTTGAGTCTCTGTTGTAGGCACGAATTCACGTCAGCTTCCCCCTAACTCAGAATCCTCAACAACTTTACCTTTTCCCTTATCAGTCACAGGAACACCTCCTATGACTGGTTCGGAATTTTTGTCGGGTAATGACTGGTAGGGAGTTTCATCGACTGACGAAGCATTAATATTATTGCCTTTTCCACCCTCTAATTCTACATTTTCAGTTGTGTTTTCAACATGACTACTGCTAGGGTTACGACTAAATAGAGACTGAGAATCAGAAAATAAGGAAAAATTAGGACCAGACATGGCTGAGGCAACGGATTCAGCAGGTACTTGTCTTGAAGAATGATATTGTCCACGGTGACACCATCTACGCGCACAATGCTTCCGACCCATAGAGAAAACAACAACCCGTAGACATTGATTCACAAAAGTACAAAGAAAAATACAAAAATCCTATGATTTTGAAAACCCACTTTCACTAAAATGTACTTTCAGAAGAAAAAAATTCGCCAAAATTGAGCAAAAATTTCACCCAAAAATAGGTACTAGACGAAGAGATAGAAAGGAATCGAAAGAAAAAATTAAAATCACGGATGTGGGTGAAATTTGCGTTTTCATGTGTTGGCTATGGAGATTTGGAAACTGTTCTCTTTAATATAGTGTTAACCGTTAAAGGACGAAGACGGAAGCTTGGGCCGAGTGAAATAGGTGGGCTGGTCTTTAGTCTAGTGTAAAGAACGAAGATAAGGCTGACAATGGGTAACTTGGGCCGCGTGATGGGGGGGCCGGGTAAATAAATTGGACCGACTGGGCAGGAAGAATAAATTGTTTGGGTATAGATATTAAAAGATAAATAATTTAAGCTTAATAGGTATAAAGTGAGATTTTCCCTATTACATAATACAAATACCCATTCTCCCTAAAAGGCTCTGTACTTTTGGTGGTCCATTAGGAGACATAAATTCACAGCAACCACGTGATTTGCGCGTGCCAACCACCTAACATCCTTTCCCCCATATTTATATTTTTGCATTACCAAAAGATACTGTGTCAAACACAACCAAATTCTTACTACCTTTCCATTGTCCAATGTCACACTTTGTCTGTTCATCTCCATTTTAATACTCAAAAACTCAACTTCATGTCTTAAGTTGACTACATTCCTCAAAACCATAAAAACAAACTATATAAAAGGACAGCCCGGGTCCGTCAAAGACGGGACCACAAAAGTTCATTGTATGCAACCTTATCCTGCATTTCTGCAATAGGCTATTTTTACCACTTCGAACCCGTAACCCTCCTAGTCACATGGCGACTACTTTACCACGACTCAAACCTGTAGCCTATTCACATGGCGGCAACTTTACCTATTACGCCAATACTCTCCTTTCAATAAAAAAAGACCATGTAATAAAACATGTTCTTCCACCATTTCAATAATACAAATGGATAAAGATAAACCACTAGAATTATACAAGATTAGAATTGTAGTACCAAGAAAATACAAATTAAACATCATATATTTGATGTTAATAGAAAAGATTGAGGACCTAAAATACTCCTCATCCTCAGACCATTTACTTCAATTCCCACATTACAAAATACTGTTAAGAAACCACCTAGTTCATTTCATCACATAATGGAACAACTACTAGGATTCTCATCACTAAACATATGAGAAGTAGTTGCAGATTGATCAACAGCAGCAGCAGCAGCAGCAGAAGTGTAATAAGGATCAACATAGGAAGTGTATGGGACTTGACCATAATTATTACTATTATCATTATAGTAATAACCTGTTGATGGAGGAATGAAAGGAGACCTACTGTACATCATCTGAGGTTGTTGCATAGCATGCCTGTTCTGCAAATTCATTAGCACGGACGATGGATTGTACTGCTGCTGTTGGACTCCATTGTTCATGTTCATTAGCATTGAAGCAGAAGGATTATGACCGCCACCGGCTAAAGATCCTTGCATAACATTATTTGGATGAACTCTAAATCCTCCTCCAATGGAATTACCATTTCCTCCTCCTACGCCTCCATTCAAGATTGCTGCAACGTTGTTATTAGTCATCCCGTTATTCCCATGAAAACCAGCAAAATTCATCATTGCATTTATGTCATTTCCCATTTTCGCCGCCTCACCAAGATTGACATTGACATGATTTTGGCCTCCCCCTAATTGAGCAGCATTGTTCATGTTCATCTTCATTGCAGCCATTGTTCTTTGGTCGATATTAGCTCCTGGATTTGGCTTCATTGTCATATTCTGAATAGGGACTTGTTTCTTGCCATTATTCACATTGCCAACATTGTTGTTCTTTGCTTTACCATTGGCCATAGCAGCAGCCATAGCTTTCTTCGCGTTGTTATTTGCTTCAGCTTGTTGTCTATAAAGAGCCATTTGTCTTGCTCTTTCCCTCATCATAAACCTCATCTCTTCCTCAGTACAACCATCTCCCTCATCATCATCATCATCCTCGTCGAGATAATCGACTTCCTCTTGCACAAGATTGACCTTTTGCTGATTCTGTTGGGATTCAAGACCCTTAATTAAACCTTGCTGCTTTTGATTTTTGTTGTTCTTGTTATCTTTGATGCAGTTGGGGTTTTGTTTCTGACTTTGATTAGTCTTTTGAGACCAAAGCTCAGCATGTTTACCAGCCTTAACTAATTTTTTAATCAAAGTTTCAGAATCTACACTACCAGAAACTGTCACTTTTTGCTGCTCCACATCTATGTTTACTTGATAAACACCTATACCAATAAAAAGGCAAAATCAAACAAGTGAAAAAGTTAAAAAACAATAATTAGGATTTAGGATAAATTATATCACCAATGCACTTTTTAATTAAACTCCCCAAAAGGCACTTAATCATAAAGTTCTAGTCTTTTCATCACATGAGTAGTTAATGAAACTATAATCACTCAATTAATTGTTAGTTCATCCCAAAAGGCGAAGGGAGCCCTAGCGTAACCAGTAAAGTTGTTAGACAAGTGACCAGGAGGTCACTAATTTCGAGGCGTGGAAACAGCCTCCTGCAAAAACGTAGAGCTAGGCTGCGTACAATAGAAACTTGTGTCCGGATCCCGCGCATAACGGGATAGGGCACGGAGATGTCCTTTTTTATCCCAAAAGGCAAGGAAAAGTAGCTACTGAACACTAGAGAAAACAGAACACATGCTCAAATTTACAAGAAACTAAGAAAAGCTACAATCTTGACATACCAACAGGGGAAAATTTTTACAACCAGTAATTAGGATAAAGAGAAAAAAATGAAATACCACTTTTTGTGACTGCTTTATAACAGGATAAGCAAGTTAAAATACTAATTAAACCCCAAAAGGAACTTAAAGTAAATGCATTAAACATCATTAAGTTCAAGTCTTTTCAAGACATGAGTAATTAATTAAACTATAATCACTCAATTAATTATTATTTAACCCCTAAAGGCAAAGAAAAGTAGCTACTAAACACCAGAAAAAACAGAACACATGCTCAAACTGTCAAGAAACTGAATAAAGCTACAATCTTTACATGTCATAACCAATGAAAAATACATTCTCAAAATAATGTAAAGTTTTAACAACAAAAAAAGATAGTGAAAAAAGTAATAAACCTTCAATTCTCTGAAGGAGCTTCTTCACTTTCTGCTTGCACCCATCACAATGTATATTCACTCTGAGCACACAAGTCTGAACAAGAACATAGCTAAATAATTATTAACAAACAACAAATGGTAAATTAAAAAAATTAAAAACAAACCAAAAGATGACTTTACATGGAAACAGCAAAAAACCAACTTTTTTCTTGAAATAAATATTCTAGAAGGGAAAAAAAATACCTGGATCTTGAGTAGCTTAAAGTCTTCATCTTTAGTCATTTCTTCAGATTTCCCTTTTATTTTTTGGAACAAAAATCTTCTACAAAAGGAAATAGTAAAATAAACACACAAAGCTACAAATATATATATACATATAAAATTAGACTAAAAAAGCAGAATTTATGAGTTCAACACCACCAAACACAGAAAGATTCTATCTTTTTACACTCTTCTTCACTCTACTTAAGTTTCACTCAGAAAAAACAAAGTAAAAAGAGCAAATGAGGGTGTGTCTTATAAAGACATAATAACATGTTTATAAACAAAATAAAATGCAAATATAAATAAAAGTAAGTATTAAGACAAAAAAGAGAGAAAAAAAAACAAAAAAAACTCAGGACTATACTTACAGAGAAAGAGATGAAAATGTCAGAGGAAAAAGGAGAGAGTAGAGTTGAAGCAAGTAGTAGTATAGTGAATTAGCTTTACTTCTGAATTGTGAAATGATGTGATTTAACGTTAAATACTGTGAAAGAAAAAAGGAAAAAAATATTTTTCAAATGAAAAAATAGTGACTTGACAGGCTGACTTCTATCTCTGTCCTCTTTGTCACATGCTATTATCCAGGAGTCTTTTTTTTATTCAATATTAATTAATTCAGATAAGAATTGTGTTAGACTTATTAAAATGTAAAAATATTATTCTAAGAGTTAAATTTCTCAATTTTAACTGTAAAATTAAAACAAAATCTTTAAGCTTTTTCAAATAAAATTTATAAATGTAAAAACCACTTTGAAAGTACGATAAACTATGATAATTAACATTTAAAAATACATAAAATATATTTTAAAAATAGTTATGCGAAAAAAATTTATTTAATTCTAAAAATCTAAAATTATTTAACCCATTTCCCTATTTGGAAATAATTTATCTTTACCCAAATTTATAGCCACACAAAATATATGTGTCTTATTTTGCAGCACAAGTTCAAAAGTCTTATTATCTCTTTTTCTAAATTCCGTCTCAGTCAAATAAGTTCATATAAATTAAATAGGAGGGAGTATTATTTAACATAACAAATTCCATCCATCTTACTACCTTTGTGTTATACCCCACACTCACCCTCCCCAATACTGCTAATTTTTGTGATTTTTTTCATATATTTGTGTGTATTTCTGTGCACAACGGCTCTTTTTTTGTAGCTTAATGAATGTTTACATAATTTGCAAATTTGCATGAGAAAACGTCCATTTCAAAAGGATTTGTTTTTGTTGTTCTTGTTGGCTCTTTTTCCCTTCACTTGATGTTTCATAAGGGTAAGTTTGATTTATTTTATGGAAGTCAAACTGATGAATTTGTAACTTTTTGCCTATTCGGCCAAGTTTCTAAAAGGTTAATTCGATGTACAAGGTATTTCGCATTTATTCGAGGAAGTGTCTCACCTCGCATTAATTTCCCGGAAGATTGAGAAGGCTAGAGAAGAGCTAGTTGAAGTTCAAACAAGAATAGACTTACAATGGTCTGATGAGCTGATTGACTTACAGCTTGTTCGGATGGTTGTTCCCCATTGTATCGTATTGTATTGTTATTCCAAAACAATGTTTGTTTTGTTTGTTTCATTAAAATTGAATGTATTGTATTGTTAAATCAGTTGTTCCGAAATAATGAAAAGTCCCATTTTTTTAAATAACCGATTTGGTGTGGTGGAATTGTTCCTATTTTTCTTTCTAGTTATGCCCTAACTTATTACTCCACAATTCTATTTTACCCTTTACCTTTTTTTCCATTTTAATTCCAAATCTCGAACCTATAACCTACTTTTTTTAAAAACTTCTACCGCCAACGTTAAAGGTGTTTTGCTTTTGCCGCCTTCTGTTTTACTTTTTCTCCTAATTTGCTTTTAACTCAATGCTAATTAGCTATGCTCCTTTGTTTTTCCTTCTTCTGTCTCGCTCCTTTGGTCTGCTTTCTTAAAGTGTTTTTCCTTCTTCTGTTTTATTTTTTAAATTATTTTTATGCATAATTTTTGATAAATTTAACAGTTAAACAATTGAGGGTATTTTAGTAAACTTATCAGTTACAGTACAGTACGATACAGTCAAACCAAATAGCAAAATATTATTTAATAATAACAAATAATACAATCTATCCAAATATTATATTCATAAGATGATACGATACAATACAATACATTATAAAATAATGATCCAAACAAAGTGTTAGAGAATGATACTTTGCAAAACATTGAAAAATGGTCCATAATTGAGGAGAATATTACGAGACAAATATCAAGAGCCCAATAGCTCCAATTAGGTGATTCAAATACAAAGTACTTCTCAGCATTGATGAAGGAGAGAAATCAGAGGAAGCACGTCTTGGAGCTCGCATCTTTAATTGGGGGTAAACTTATAGCACCTGCAGAGATCAAAGCTGAGATCATTCAATTCTACAAAGGGTTAATGGGGTCGTCTGCTAAAGAACTACCTGTAGTTAACAGATTAGTGATGAAAAATGAGCTTGTGTTATCGAGACAACAAAGTAAAGATCTGACTACAGAGATCACTAAACAGGAAATTTATAAAGGACTATCAATTATACGAGATGATAAAGCTCCTAGAGTCGATGGTTACAATGATCCCTTCTTTAAGAAAGCTTGGCATATAGTTAAAGAGGAAATCATGGAAGCAGTAAAGCATTTCTTTGCTGCATGGAAAATGAACAAGGCAATAAACTTCACCTCCATTACTTTGGTCCCAAAAATAGCCAATCCTACTACAGTTAAAGACTTCAGAACAATTGCTTGTTGTACAGTATTATACGAGATTATATCTAAGATATTTGCTGCTAGAATGCAGAAGTTATACCGGATACGATTTGTGCATCTCAAGCTGGGTTCATTCCAGGGAGGAAAATAGCAGATAATATTATCCTAGCTCACGAGTAGGTAAAGTCTTACACTAGGAAGCATATCTCCCCTAGGTGTATGATCAAGATTGACTTGCAAAACGCTTATGACTCTGTTGAATGGGATTACTTGGAGCAAGTGATGACTAAGTTGTTCTTTCTTGTCCAATATATCACATGGGTAATGGAGTGTCTTAAGACTGTTAATTATACCATTATGATCAATGGAGAACCCTCTGAACCTTTTGATGCTGCAAAAGGTTTAAGGCAAGGGGCCTTATACCCCCATTTCTATTTGCCATTGCGATGGAGTATTTGAGCAAGATCTTGAATGGTTTGAAGGAGTCAAAAGCTTTTGAGCGCCACCCAAATGTGCAAAACTAGGCATTACTGATTTGAGTTTGCAGATGACCTACTGCTATTTGTTAAAGGGGAATGTGTATCTGCTGAGAAGTTACATCAGAACTTCACTCAATTTACTATGGTTTCTGGTCTGCAAGCAAATCTTGGAAAAAGCTCTTTTTATCTTGGGGGAGCTACACAAGATGAAAGAGTAAAAACGTTATGACATCTCCAATTTGTAGAAGGTGAGCTCTCTTTCAAGTACCTTGGAATTCCATTCTCATCTAAGAAGCTATCCTTTAGTTCGATGGCAGCCCCTGATTGAAAAAATTATGGCAAAAATAACTTCATGGACAGCAAAGAAACTCTTTTATGCAGGGAGAACTCAGCTAATTCAGACTGTTATTTTTGGAATGCAAGCATATTGGGCCCAGTTGTTTATGGTCCCAGTCAAGGTTACTAAAATGATTGAAGCGTATTTGTCACGATCCCAGTTCGCCCTCCGTGAACCGTCGTGACGGCACCTAATCTCTACGACTAGGTAAGCCTAACAAATACGGAAAAAGATACAAATGCAGAAGAAAGTAATTAAAAACCGAGTTAGCAAGGTTAAACAGTGCTTAAGATGTCGTCTGGCATATAACAATACAAGAGTCTCAATCTAACACTACCAAAATTCGGAACCTTATGAATCACAAGCTAGAATATTACAAAATAAGCTCTAACTCCAGAATGTCTACCAACAAGTGAAAATACAGAAAGGGCTATACTAGTACTGAGAATAGAAAGGGACTCTTCGATCTTCGGACGCGGCAGATATACCTCGGAGTCTCTACAAAACGCCTCGCCTCAAGCGTGATAAATCTGAGTACCTGGATCTGCACATGAAAAACATGCGCAGGAAGGGCATGAGTACACCACAGCGGTACTCAATAAGTGTCAAGCCTAACCTCGGTCGGGTAGTGACGAGTAAGGTCAGGGCCCTACTGAGGTTAAAGGAAAAAAACAAGATATAACAGTGTAGAATAAGACGGTATACCTAAGTGCAATAGTAAAAAGTAACACAGGATAGAAGAACAACAGCAACTTTAATAGAAACAAAGTAATCACAGAAATAAATACAGCTCAACGCAGAGATAACAACCGGGGGATCTCCCAGGATACCGTCCTGTAGTCCCCAACTATAAATATCCAGTGGATCTCCCGTGTGCAGTCCCGTAGTCCAACTCATAATGCGCGGGGATCTACCGGAATACCACATCCGTAGTCCCAAATATAACTACTCAATACTGGGAGAATCTACCGGGTACAGTTCCCTAGTTCCAATATAAAAGTGCAGGGGGATCTCCCGGAACACAATTTCGTAGTCCCAAAGTAAACATACAGGGGGATCTCCCGGGATACCGTCCCGTAGTCCCAAAGTAAACACACAGCAGCAACACAAAAGAATACTCAATTCGGTTCAAATTTCCATACAAAATAAAATAGGTATTTCTAGCCTAGCATGATGCACATAATTCAAATAAGGCAATTTGAATAAGTAAGGTAATTAAGTCAACTAAACATGCTTTCCTAAGCTAATAGCAGGCTTAAATTACACACGGTATGAACAGGAAACAGGAAATCACATTTATAGTTACTTAAGGAAAACGTATTTTCAACAATTAGCACAAGTACGAACTCGTCACCTCACGTACATGACATTTCAATTATCAACAAACCAAATCCTAGGGGAGTTTCCCCCACACAAGGTTAGACAAGTCACTTACCTCGAACCGGCTCAAAATCAACCCGAAACCACGTTCTTGCCACGAGTACTCGACTCCAAATGCCCCAAATCTATTCAATTCAATTGCATAATGTAAATAACACTTCAAGTAAATGATTCCACAAATAAATTCTAAGCTAATATGCAAAATTAGGTAAAATGACCTCGGAATTGGGTAAAAATTACATATTCAGAATCTTCACGCTCTCACGATTTCATGCATACCAAAATCGGACCTCAATTGGTCCCTCAAATCACCACTCAAAGCTCTCTAATACCAAGCCTAGTTTCTTCAATATTTACCCACAAATTTCTATAAATTTCAAGCCTAATCAATGAAATAATACTACAGGAACGAGTTTAATGATCAAAATTCTTACCTCAACGAAGTTTTCTCTGATTCCCTCTTCAAAATCCCCCAAAAGCTCCAAAAATCATTTTAAAATGGTGAAGAAAAGCTGAAAATCGCGAAGGAGGGTTTATATGCTTTCTGGCCCAGGGTTTTCACACCTGCGGTCCTTCCTCTCCTTCTGCACTACCGCTTTTGCGGTCAAATGCATCGCATCTGCGGTTTCACTAAGGCGCCCATTTCTGCATCTGCGATTAAGAAGCCGCACCTGCGCTACCGCAGGTGCGATCGAGAAGCCGTTTCTGCGGTCCCAGCCCCACATGGCCAATTCCGCACTGCGACCATCTGGGCGCTTCTGCGAGCCCGCACCTGCGGTCCCCTAGCCGCAGGTGCAGTTATGACAGCAATGGAATATCTTCAGCTGCCAAAACCAAACTCAATTCTTCCGTCAACCATTCGAAATCACCCCGAGGCCCCCGGGACCTCAACCAAAAGCACAAACAAGTCTAATACCACTGAACAAACTTATACAAATCTTCAAAACACCTCAAACAACATCAAATTCAAGCCTAAGAACTTCAAAACTCTCAAAATACGCTTTCGATCAAAAAGTCTATCAAACCCCGTCCGAATGACCTAAAATTTTGCACACACGTCACATTCAACACTACGGAGCTACTCCAACTTCCGGATTTCCATTCTGACCCCGATATCAAAATCTCACTATCGAACCGGAAACTTCCAAAATTCAACTTTTGGCATTTCAAGCCTAATTAAGCTACGGACCTCTAAAACACAATCTGAACACACCCCTCAACCCAAAATCATCCAACGGAGCTAACGGAACCAATGGAATTCCACTCCGAGGCCATCTTCACACTGTTCCGACTACAGTCCAAATTCTAAAACTTAAACTCTCATTTAGGGACTAAATGTCCCTAAACTCTCCGAATTTCCAAATAAATCTTCCCGAAAACTCACAATAGCAGAAACAAACAAGGAGAATAAAGTTAATAGGGGATCGGGGCATTAATTCTTAAAACGACCGACCGGGTCGTTATAGTATTGTAGAAGCTACTTTTGGGCTGGAGAAAATGTGGTCACTAAAAAAGCTTTAGTAGCTTGGGAGAAAATGTGTATGCCAAAGTCTTTTGGAGGGTTGAATCTACTTAACTTGAAGCTGTGGAATAAAGCTGCTATAATTAAAAGTTGTTGGGATCTTGCTCATAGATAGGATAAGTTGTGGATCAAATGGAACTGCACTTACTATATAAAAGGTTGGCAGTTTATGGATGTTTCAATGCCACAACAAGCGTGCCGGATGGTAAGGAAGATTTATGAAGCAAGAGCCCTGATGAAACAGATACATGTTAACTATACTTCTGGGAAGAGCTTCATCAGGTGGACTTATTTGCAACTTCTGGGGATCAACCTCGAGTACCATGGAAATGCATGATATATAATAATGCTGTCAGGCCAAAAGGTGGGTTCACTATGTGGATGATGCTCCATGGGAAACTCCTGACTACCGATATACCAGTTACTTGGGGGGGTGAATGTGGACTCCACGTCTGTTCTCAATCGATAACACTCTGAATCAAAAGCATATATTTTGGTTGAATGTACGTTTGCTTAAGGGTTGTGCAACAGAGTCTTATTATGGTTGCAGGGGCAATGTGGTGGAACTAGAGACAGGGAACAACACTTCCAGTGGTGTGATGGCCCAAAAGGTCATCACTTGCCTTAAATTGAATTTTGTATTTCCGAGGCCTTAAAAACCTCATTTATCATCACCTCGATTTGCGTGCGCAGTCCGGGCGCGTAGCCGGAAAGCCTAAATAAGATAATCTGTGAAAAATGGTAAAATTTGGTTATAAAATGAGTTAATTTGACTTCGGTCAACGTTTTGGGTAAACGGACCCGGACCCGTGATTCAATGGTCCTGGAGGGTCCATAGGAAAATATGGGACTTGGACGTATGCCCGGAATCGAATTCCGAGGTCCCAAGCCCGAGAAATGAATTTTTAAAGAAAATTATTTTCTGGAATTGTTTAAAGTATTTTGAAATGAAATTTGCTTAGAACATGATGGTATCGGGCCCGTATTTTGGTTCCGGTGCCTGGTACAGGTCTTATATATGATTTAAGATAACTCTGTGAAGTTTGGTAAGAAACGGAGTCCGTTTGACGTGATTCGGACCTTAATTGCAAAATTGATGTTTATAGAAGTTTTGAGAAAAGTTTCAGTGATCTTGAGGCTTAATTTGATGTTCATGATGTTATTTTGATGATTTGATTACACAAACAAGTCCGTAGGATGTTTTGAGGTGTTGTGTGCACTTGGTTTGGAGTTCCGAGGGCACGGGTGAGTTTCGGGTAGGTTCCGGGATGTTTTAGGCTTAAAATCGGAGCTGTTGCAGGCTCAGGGAAGTGGAAGGCCTCTGAACAGTCCAGTGCGTTCCGCACGATATGGACTGCTGCCGCGGAGGAGCCTGTGCGGCCGCACTAGTTTTTGTGCGGTCCGCGGTGAAGAGCATTCTACTGGTCCGACTT